GTCAGCCCACCAAACCCAGTCTGATCTCCTGACTGGAAGAAGATGAGGACATGGGGACTGTACAGAGGGGACATCTACCAGGTGACCATGGAAGAAATGGGACACAGAAGATTAAGGCTGTTAAGTCTGGCGTGGTGAGGTACACCTGTAATCCCAGCTGCTCAGGAAGCAGAGGCAGGAGGATTGAGAGAGTTCAAGGACAGCCTGAACTAGGTGAGACCCTACGTCCAAACAAAGGACAGAGTATGGCTCAAGTGGTAGAGTGCTTGCCTAGCCCATGCAGGGTCCTGAACCAGTCCCCAGTACCCACCCTACTGTATTTGGAGATATATATAATCTCCAAGTCATTTGTCTGACAAGTTAGGGTATCTTCAGCTTTCCATTGTTCTTTGCTTTCTGTCTACTCAGACTTTCCTCTACTCTTGCTAAACAAACCCAAGCCAGTAGCTCATACCTATAATCCTAGCTCCTCAGGAGGCTGAGATCTGATAAATGAACCTTCTCACATTCTCTTCGAAATTCCCTGGATAGTGTTAGGAGGCTTTCTGAGTTCGTGTGTGGTTATTGGGACTTGAGGATTACGTGAACACACGTGTGCATATCTTACAAGCATACGGCTTCTCGCCAGTGTGGGTCCTCTGGTGCAAGATTGGAGCAGTGGGCAAAGGCCTTGAAGCCACACTGCTGGCATCTGTAGCAGTGCTCTCGCATATGCATCTTCCTGGGTCAGGTCTGAAGTAGCACTGTAGGCCTTCTGCATGCCTCACACTTAAAGGGTTTCTCTCCGAGTTGAGTTCTTAGGTGCTCAATGAGACAAAAAAAAAAAAAAAACCTGGTGAAGGCTTTGCCCCATTGCTTGCAGAGGAAAAGCTTCCTTCCCATGTGCTTTCTGGTATGGGCCACGAGACAGGTGGACGTGGTGAAGGCTTTCCCATAGAGCTTGTGTGCACTGTGAGTGTGCATGTGCTGGGAGAGACCCCAGTACTGAGCGAAGGCTTTGCCGCTCTTGGGGCCTGTGGGCCTCTCCCCAGTGTGGGTTCGCACATGCTTGCCCAGGTAAGTGGGGTCTTGGGAACGCTTTGCACACGGCTCGCATCTGTAGGGGGGCTCCATGCAGAGGCTGGCCACGTGCACGGCAAAGTCCCTGGAGAGGAGGAAGGGGCCCCCACTGTCACTCCCTCCACACAGCTTGTCTTCACCCTGAGTTCCACGAGGGCCTGGACAGGGATGGCCAGGCAAAGGCGTGCCCACTTCCCCTGTGTCTAGAGGTTCTTCTCGCAGGCAGGCAGTTCTCCGGTACTTTCGGGGTGGGGATGAGGGTTTCTGGGTTGTCAGCAAGTGCAGAGAGCATCTCTGCAGTAGAGGTTTTCACCTGCAGGGTGAGGAAGGCTTTTCCACCTGGATTGGGCTCACAATTGTTCCCTGCAGCTGGAGTTCTCTTGTCTAGGTGCTCGCAGGCATGCAGTTGAGTAGCTTGGCTCCCACTTTCCTGTTGATAAGATGGTGAGGGAAGGTTAAAGCTCGTGATTGGACGATGGTAATGACCTTGAGGACTTTCAGTATGACTTTCAGCATGGTGGTACATTTGTGCAGCTCTGTGACAAAAGTCACAGAAACAACACAATGGTCAGAGCGTCTCCTGGTGTCTCTATTGGGGAAACACTGCTTCGCTCACCTAGTTTTTTTGTTGTTGTTGTTTTGTTTTTGTTTTTGTTTTTTTGTTTTGCTAGTTCTGGGGCTTCTACTCAGGGCCTGGGCAGTGTCCTTGAGTTTGTGTTGCTCAAGGCTAGCACTCTACTGCTTGAGCCACAGTGCCACTTCCGGCTTTTTCTGTGTATGTGGTACTGAGGAATTGAACCCAGGGCTTTATGCATGCTAGGCAAGCACTCTACCACTAAGCCACATTCCCAGTCCTCACCTAGCTCCTGTTTGGGCTGATTTCCTAAAATGGAACTCTCTGTGGTTTTCTGAGTATAAATAAACAGGAGACATTCTTCCTTGATCTTACCATCTGTATCCTGCTGCAGGCTTGTCCCTTCAAAAGCTCCTGTGCATGTGTGGGCTCACTGGTACTAAGTGGTTTTTCATATTCTGAAGACACACTGGAAAATGGAATTAAGATTTGCATAAAGAAATGGTCAAGGCCCAGAGTTCAAGACCCACGAACGACAAAAAAGAAAAGAGAAAGAAATGGCCAAAGCTGGGCACTGGTAGCTCATGCTGCAATCCCACCTACTGAGGAGGATGAGATCTGAGGATCACAGTTCAAAGCCAGCCTAGGCAGGAAAGTCCATGAGACTCTTATCTCTAACTGATTACCAAAATGCTGGAAGTGGAGCTGTGGGCCAAGTAGTAGAGAAAGCATCGGCCTTGAGCAAAAAAGCTCAGGAAAAACAGCTGGGTGTCTTCAAGCCATAGGAGTAGGGGAAAAACAAACAAAATGAAAAACCAGCTGCAGGAGTTAAAATAACAAAACTGATTTGTATTTGTTTTCAAATTAAAAAAATTTTTTTTGTCAGTCCTGTGGCTTGAACTCAGCCTGGGCGCTATCCCTGAGCTCTTCAGCTCAAGGCTAGTACTCTACCACTTGAGCGACAGCGCCCACTTCTGGCTTTTTCTGTTTATGTGGTGCTGAGGAATCGAACCCAGGGCCTCTTACATGTGAGGCAAGCACTCTACCACTGAGCCACCTTCCCAGCCCCTAAAAAAATTTTATTGCGATTAAGTGATTACATGAATTTCACAAATTTCACAGTATTGTGATACTTAAAGTATCAAACACATTCTAACCTTCATGGGGCAAATTGTCTTTTCATGGTCTATGAAGTTTATGAGTTCTATGAACTTTGAAAATACAGTTAATTCTTACACATGGAGTGATATGTACATTTCTTTCCTTTTGCATAGTGTCAGCTGTTCCCTCTTTCCCGCTCATTCCCTCCCTCCCATCGCTGCCATTGAGTTGCTTAGTTTGTTTTGATCAATGTTCAGTGCAGCTGATGGGTCCCACTGTTGTATGTTTTCCAGTTTCCCTCTGTTTCTGTGTCCTCTTTCTAGTTTCCCTCCAATGTGCACAAGCACACACACACACATACACATATATACCATACAGGTGGTCATCAGCATGGGGTCATTTAGTAATGATTCAACCAAGTGAGTGGAGGTCCTTTGTTTCTCCAGTCTTGTTTACTTTGTCATATCTCCTTACATTTTGGATTTAATAACCACTTATCAAGGAGACCATATGCCATTTGTCTTTTTGCTCTTGGTTTACCTCACTCAACATGATTTCTTCCAGTTCCATCCATTTCCCTGTGAATGCCATTATTTTGTCCTTTCTAATGGCTGCATAATATTCCATTGTATATAGGTACCACAACTTTTCTGTAGTGGGGCATCTGGGTTGTTTCCATATCCTGGCTATTGTAAACAGGGCTGCAATAAACATGGAGGTGCATGTGTCCTTGTATCCTGGTTCCTGTTGTTCAAGATCCTAAAAATGTTTTTTATGGTACTTTTAGGGTTTGAACTCAGAGTCTGAACATAGTCCTTTAGCTTTTTCTCTAAGGCTAGTGTTCTACCACTTAAGCCACAGTTTAACTTCTGGCTTTTTGCTGGTTAAGTGGAGATAAAGAGTCCCATGAATTTTCCTGCACAGGCTGCTGGCTTTCAGCCTCAATTGACCTGACCCATCCAGGAGGATCCATACAGGAGAGCACCCCTATAATACCAGGAGTGTGGCTTCAAGGCCTTTGCCCACTGCTCCAATCTTGCACCAGAGGACCCACACTGGCGAGAAGCCGTATGCATGTAAGATATGCACGCGCATGTTCACGTATTCCTCAAGTTGCAATAACCACATACCAATTCACAAAGCCTCCTGACACTCTCCAGGGAATTTCAAGACTGTGAGAAGGTTCATTTACCACATTCTTTGTTCTCTTGTTGGTCATGGGGCTTGAACTTGGGGCCTAGGCTCTGTCCCTGAACACTTTTGCTCCAGGTGAGTGCCCTACCACTTTGAGCCACAGCTCCACTTCTGGTTTTCTGGTGGTTCATTGGAGATAGAGTCTCATGGCTTTTCCTGCACAGGCTGGCTTCAAACCATGATTCTCAGATCTCAGCTTCCTCAGTAGCTAGGATTACACTGGTGAGTCACTAGTGCCCAGCTATTTACCATATTCTTGATGGGTTCCATGCTATGCCACCCTGGTGAACAGCTGCTGGAATGTGAACGGAGGGGCAAGGCTGTCAGGGACTGACGATGTCATCCTGGAAAGAAGCCTAGGGAATGAATGTCAGGCCACAGAGACTGGCAAGCTCACTGGTGATGCTGGTTCCTGCAATTGTGTGCCATTGAGAAAAGTTCCACCTTGTTCCTTTAGCAAGGCTGCTGTGTTGCTTCTGCTCAGGTGTTGAGCAGCACAGCACTCTATTCTGACTACACCTTGCTTTTGTAGTCAAGATGTGATGTGATGTGTAGATATTTGACAGTTCCAAGAACTGTCCTCTGTTGTTTGAGCATCATTGGGTTAACTGTCACTGAGTAAAGTTCTCTCTGTATTTAAAATGTGTGTGTGGTGAAAAGCAGCGTAAGAACAAAAAGGATGAAATAAAATGTAGTTTATTTTCACGTTTATTTATTTATGGCAGTACTGAAGTTTAATTTTAGGCCTGCTCAACGTTCAGCCTCAGGGCCAGCACTAAAAAAAAAATAAAAAACCTAGAAACTGATAGACCTGTAGATCAAGTGAAGCATTGGTTGGCTTAACAACAGAGAGGTCTAAAAACATGGGCAGTTAGGGAAAAATCTTTTCTGGGCATCTCTTAAGAGCAAGTCCTCACTCCTCGGCACCCCGGCCCCGCCCTGGGCATGGACTCCGCCTTGCCCCAGGCCCCGCCCCCAGGGAGGCCCCGCCCCCGAGACGTAGCCACGCCCCTGGCGGGCCCCGCCCCGACCTCTGGCAATTTTGTCTTCCAAAGTCCATTTGGAGCCTTTCCAAAGGTAACAGGCTTTCCCTTCCTGCGAGTCCCCAGGGGCTGCGTCCCGAATGCCACGGGCTCCACGCGTGGGCCGGAAGCGGAAGTGACGTCAGCGACCCGCGGGTTCTTTGCCGGCGGCGCTGGCTGCGCTCGGCGGTCCCGAGCACCCTCTCCTCGTGGTGGGTGCGTCCCTCATTTGGGTAAGTTCCAGATGTGCTGGGGGGCCGCGGAGGGGCGGGGCCTCGGGGCGTCCACACGGCATGCGGACCCCACCGAGGCCTGCTTCCACCCGGGCGCGCGCGGCCCTGTCAGGCCCTCGGGGGAGCGGGCGGGAAGTGTCCCGGCTGCCGGGCTCGGGGCTTCGTCCACGGGGCTCCTGTCGCCATCCAGCGGCGACCGAGTGCGTCAGAAACGTGCGCCCGAACACAGCGACAGGGTTGATGGGTTCGTTGTTTTTCACGCACATGCCAGTGAGAAAGTTGAATTCGCAACTGAGGTCCAGTGACCGATGAAATGCCCAAAATACACTAGCGACACAGGCTGCAAATCTCTCAGAAATACCTATGTATATATAATATACGTGCATGCATGCGTACATGCGTGTATGTATACATGTTACGTGGTGGGGATGTACCTTAGTGGTAGGAGGCTGGTGGCCTAGCATTAGGCCCCGGTGTCAGAATTTCTTGGTTAACACATTTACAAGGTTACATCACTTTTGTTGGGGTTAAACTTTTTCTTTCTTTCACAGCATTGGATTTGAACTCAGGGATGTTGGCATGCTAAGCAAGTGCACTACCACTTGAGCCATGCCTCCAGTTCTGATTTCATTGGCTTTGATTTGCCTAGTACTGTTGACTTCATAGGGTATTCATGGCCATTGGCTACCACAGGTACGTGTGTGTATGCTTGAACTCGTCCTGGGTGCCCGTCCCTGAGTTTTCTCAAGGCTACCACTCTACTGCTTGAGCCACAGCTCCACTGCTAGCTTTTTGGTGGTTAATTGGAGATTAGAGTCTCATGGGCTTTCTGAGTCTTCAGATCTCAACCTCCTAAGGAGCTAGGATTACAGGCTTGAGCCCTGATGTTTAGCTGCGGTAATTTTTTAATCCATTATGTATCAGTCTGTGCCTTTGTGCTGGATAGATGGTGGTTTAATTGCACAAATAAGTAGGAGAGTTGGGCCAGGCACCCGTGGCTCACCCCTGTAATCCTTGCTACTTAGAGCCTCATCTCCACAGGTCCCTTTCAGAAGCTTCCAAAGCCACCTCTCTGCGTTGTTTCCTACAAGGAAAGGAATTTCCAGTGCTTGGTGAGGCTGACTCCATTCCCTGCTTCCTCCCATCTCGCAGATATATTGATCCCAGTGAATTCAGGTGAGCAGGTGTGAAGTGGTTCAAAATTCTCTTCCTCCTCCTTCCCCGCCCTCCTCTTCCTCTTCAGTGTATCTGTCCTAGAGCTTGAACTTAGGGTACTATCGTTTAGCTTTTTTGCTTAAGACCAGAGTGCTACCACTTGAGCTACAGCTCTACTTCAGGCTTTTTGCTGGTTAATTGAAGATAAGAGTCTCACACACTTTCCTGCCCGGGCTGGCTTCATTCTAGTTGATTCTCTGATCTCAGTTGATTCTCTGATTACAGTTCTGAGCCACTTGGTGCCCTACTGTAGACATATTTTTGTGACTATTTCAGGAATTGGCTCAAGTGACAGAGTGCTAGCCTTGAGTGAAAAAGCTAAGAGACATTACTCAGCCTCTGAGTTGAAGCCCCAGTACTGGCATACAGAAAAAGAAAAGAAAAAGAAGGAAGGAAGGGAGAGGGGGGGAAGAAAAGGGGAAAGGAAAGGGAAGGGGAAAGGAAAGGAAGGGAAGGGGAAAGGAAGGGAAGGGGAAAGGGAAGATTGGCTTTGGATTTCAGGGGTCCAGACATGAACACTTGGCTCTGTTTTTTCTGGGCCTGGGGTGATACAATAACATGATGAGCAGCTCAAGGAAAGACAAAGCTCACCTCGTGGTGGCCAGGAACAGGGACAGAGAGCAGAAGGGGTCAGAAAATTACACCCTTCAAGAACACGCCCCAGTGACTTACTTTCTCCAAGGAGACAAACCAGACATTTCCACCACCTCCTAGTATAGGAATCCATCAATGCATTGAGCCATTCAGAAAGATCCAGACCCACTCCCCTTTCCAAAGTCCTGGAGGACCAAGTCTTCAGTACATATGAGCTTATGGGGATGTTTCAGGCCCAACTGATAAATGACCTTGTATAGGACAATTCCAAGTATGTGTGTTTTGAAAAAAGATGTTACCACTGGAGGTGTGGCTCAAGTGGCAGTATGCCTGCCTAGTGAGCAAGATGGGGGAGATGAGAGTTCAATCCCCAATGCCACTAAAAATAAGAAAGAGGAGCTAGACACTGGTGGCTCATGCCTGTACTCCTAGCTAATCAGAAGGCTGAGATTTGAAGATAGCAGGTTGAGATTGGAGGATTGCGGTTCAAAGCCAGCCCAAGCAGGAAAGTCTGTGAGACTTTATCTCCAATTAACCACAAAAAGGCAAAAGTGGAGCACTAGCCTTGAGAGAGAAAAAAACAAAACAAAACTCAGGGATAGCAACCAAGCCCAGAGTTCAAGCCTCAGGACCAGAAAAAGAAAAGAAAAGAGGTCCTATATTATTATTGTGATGATAGCCACGGTGGAATATAGTGTTACATCTGGCCAGAGATTTCCTTACCAGTAAAGTGAGGCTAGTGCACTTTTCCCCAGTGGACAGCACAGCCCCTGAGCCCTCACCCAGTTCTAGGTGAGACAGGACTTCCCTGGCATGGATAAGCAGTAGTGTGTGTGTGTGCTAGGATGGAATGGTTCCTAGCCATGCAGGTGTAGGAATTATGATGGGCTCTGTGTTCTCAGGCCTCCTATCTCTTTTCTTCCAGGTGGTCGTCTTTCTAGAGGCCTGAAGAAAAGGCAAAGGTGGAGAGGATGGTAGCTGATTGCCTGACACATTGCTACGAGGTATGCAGAGAAAGCACCACGATGCCATGCCCTTGCTAGGAACACATTGGCCTTCTAGGCAGGCTGGGCTCCAGAGCTTTCTCCCACTCAGGCTAGTGCTGGATCACTTGAGCCAGGCTTCAGTTCCAACTCCAGAGCTTCTAAAGCCAGTAGAGAGCCCCACTCAAAGACTGAGCTCCCAGGACAGTCACCTCAGGAAACAGCATCTCTCCTCATGGTGGGCTAATGCCTGAAAATCATGCCAGGACCTCAGTAATTCTGAAGTAGTCATAGCCCTTATGGCACAAGTGCACATTTGGTATGTTGCCAAGTGCTTTGTTCAATTAAGAAACACAGAGTGAAGCCAGGTGCCAGTGGCTCACGCTTGTAATCCTAGCTACTCAGGAGGCTGAGATCTGAGGATCGTGGTTCAAAGCCAGCCCAGGCAGGAAAGTCTGTGAGACTCTTATCTCCAATAAACCACTCAGAAAACCAGAAGTGGTGCTGTGGCTCAAGTGGTAGAGCTCTTGCCTTGAGCTGAAGAGCTGAGGGACAGCACCCAAGCCCAGAGTTCAAACTGCACAACCAATAAAAAAAAAAAGAAAGGAAAAAAAACAGAGTGTCCATTTCTTTTTTCTTTACATAGTTGTACAAAGCAGTTGACATTCAACAAAGCAGTTTATGAATACAATACATCTTGACCAATGTCACCCCAAGTGTCCTTATCTTGAGTATTTATTCAACAATTTATCCAGTGCATGTGCAGGAATGTTAAACTATAATTTACAGGAGGGGGGCTCTGGTCCAGTGGTTAGAGTTGTTCATGACCAAAAGGGTGCCAGGCACCAGTAGCTCACACCTGTAATCCTAGCTACTCAGGAAGCTAAGATCTGAGAATCATGGTTCAAAGCCCAAGCAGAAAAGTTTCCATGAGAGGCTGGGATGGTGGCTCAGTGGTAGAGCACTTGCATTGCATGCCTGAGGCCCTGGGTTCCATTCCTCAGCACCACATAAGCAAAAAGAAAAATTCCGGAAGTGACGCTGTGGCTCAAGTGGTAGAGCGCTCGCCTTGAGCTGAAGAGCTGAGGGACAGCACCCAGGCCCAGAGTTCAGGCCCCACGACCGGACCCAAAAAAAAAAAAGTTTCCATAAGACTCTCATCTCCAATTAACCACTCAAAAACGAGAAGTGGGACTATGGCTCAAGACTTGAGCACCAAGAAGCTCAGGGACAATACCCAGGCCCTGAGTTCAAGCCCCATAACTGACAAAAAAAAAAAAAAAAGGTCACTAGCCCCCACGTCTGGAGCAGATAAACAGGAAGCTGAATGTGGATTCAGGGCTGACTGGGATGTCATTTTCAATGTGGGGATGGTGCTGTTGTTGCTTGTGCCTGAGGCTGATGTGTGTGTGTGTGACTGTTTAGGACTCGGTGACCTTTGAGGATGTGGCTGTGGGCTTCACCCAGGAGGAATGGATCTTACTGGATCGGGCTCACAGAGAGCTATACAGAGAGGTGATGCTGGAGACCTACCAGAACCTGGCCTCACTCGGTGAGACTCCATCCTGCCTAGGACCTCCTAGGGGAGGGCGCAGTCCCATGCTGGGTACACTACAGGATCTCTGGGCTCCACTAAACACACTGGGAGGATGCATCCTGACACAGTACCACTCTATCTGCAGGGATCTGTCCCAAGACCCCCAGGGGATTCCGACCACAATCTGGAGTAAGTCCTTTCCATAGAGTTTCCCAGGTGTTTCCAGGTGTTGCAGTAAAACCAGCACAAATTCCTTTTCCCTCTCCATAATTCCACACATGGATTCCTTCCCACAGTTGATATGAGCAACCTTGGCAGATAATTTTTTTTCCTCTCCTTTCTGAGAAGCCTAGAACTTTTCACCTAAGCAATTTAGGAGTTCTCTTTACCACTGATCACCACGATCACTACTGGGGGGAGGGCTACTTGAACCCAGGCACTGCTGTGTAGCAATGAGTGATCTGTTGCAAGAAGGCTGCTGGGTGACTAATGTGCAGGTAGCATATACAGCATGGCAATTTGGACACAGATGATTCATATTTGAGGTGTGACACAAAGGAAAACTGATCAAAAGTGTACCATTTAAAACTTTGGACTTTCGGGGCTGGGAAGGTGGCTCAGTAGTAGAGCGCTTGCCTTGCATGCCTGAGGCCCTGGGTTCGATTCCTCAGCACCACATAAGCAAAAAGAAAAAAGCCAGGAGTGGCGCTGTGGCTCAAGTGGTAGAGTGCTAGCCTTGAGCTGAAGAGCTGAGGGACAGCGCCCAGGCCCAGAGTTCAGGCTCCACGACTGGACCAAAAAAAAATAATAATAAAAAAAAATAAAACTTTGGACTTTAGCCGGGCACCAGTGGCTCACGCCTATAATCCTAGCTACTCAGGAGGCTGAGATCTGAGGATCGTAGTTCAAAGCCAGCATGGGCAGGAACATCCGTGAGACTCTTATCTCCAATAAACCAGTAGAAAACTGGAAGTGGCACTGTGGCTCAAGTGGTAGAGCGCTTGCCTTGAGCTGAAGAGTGCAGGGACAGTGCCCAGGCCCAGAGTTCAAGCCCCACAACCGGCCAAAAAACAAAAACAAAAAATTTTGGACTTGGGCTGGGAATATGGCTTAGTGGTAGAGTGCTTGCCTAGTGTGCATGAAGCTCTGGGTTCAACTCCTCAGTCCAAATAAAGAGTAGAAAAAGTGGGCTGGGAAGGTGGCTCAGTGGTAGAGCGCTTGCCTTGCATGCCTGAGGCCCTGGGTTCCATTCCTCAGCACCACATAAGCAAAAAGAAAAAATCTGAAAGTGGCGCTGTGGCTTATGTGGTAGAGCGCTAGCCTTGAGCTGAAGAGCTGAGGGACAGCACCCAGGCCCAGAGTTCAGGCCCCACAACCGGACCCAAAAAATAAATAAATAAATAAATAAATAGTAGAAAAAGCCAGAAGTAGTGTTATGGCTCAAGTAGTAGAGGCTAGCCTTGAGCAAAAGAAACTCAGGGACAGTGCCCAGGCCCTGAGTTCAAGCCCCAGGACTGGCAAAAAAAAAAAAGAAAGAAAGAAAGAAAAAACTTTGGAAGTTTTGTTTTCTTTTATCAGTTTGTGGGGCTTAAATTTAGGGCGTGGGTGCTATCCTGTTTTTGATCAAGGCTAGTGCTATACCATTTTGAGCCACAGCACCACTTCTGATGTTCTGGTGGTTTATTGTAGATAAGAGTCTCATGGACTTTCCTGCCTGCCCTGTCTTTGAATTGTGATCCTCAGATCTCAGCCTCCTAAGTCGCTAGGATGACACCATGAGCCACTGACTCCCAGCACAAAGTAAATTTATATTTAATATTTTCTTGTAGGGCAGAAAGCCAAATCATAGATATGTGGGCCTACCATTTACTTTGCTGTGATAATTCTCAAAATGCGGTCCCAGGTGACGTTACCTTTTTCCCATCAGAAATGTAAATCATTGCACTAGGTCGTAGCTTAGTGATAGAGCCCTTTCCTGAATGCACATAACGCAATCTCCAACAGTGCAAGAAAGAAAGGAAAAAAACTATAACTTAATGGCTTTCTCTTTTTACAGAATTAGCAATTGTGTGTAAATCCCATTTGTGTTGGCTCACCATCTAGATGACTCTGTACTGCACTCCGTAGCAATCACTGATCGCTGACCGTTTGTTTTCCAGAACAAAAACCTTTTCTTTGTTGCACTTCATTTTCTGTTTGTGGCTTGTTAGTGGGTACTCAGTAGATGTTTGGGCTTCAGGATTGAGGAGTATTAAATCACAGGAAGAGGCAATATCAGCAATGTTTAGCCTATGAAGAATTCCAATGCCTCCATTAGAAGCATGGCTCCTTGCCAGGCACCAGTGGCTCATCCCTGTAGTCCTCATTATTCAGGAGTCTAAGATCTGAGGAGCCCAGTTTGGAGCCAACCTAGGCAGAAAAGCCCATGGGACTCTTATCTGCAATTAACCAGCAAAATGATGGAATGGCTCAAGTGGTAGAGCACCTGCCACAAGTGGAAAAATGCCAAACAAAAAAGTAGGCCCTGAGTTCGAGCTCATGTCCATACACACACACACACACACACACACGCACGCGCGCGCGCACACACACACACACACACACACACACACACACACACACACACACACACACCCCATACCAAAAATAAGCATAGCTCCTCAATTTGTCCTTAAGTGTATGGCTTTGGCTCCAACCTTCCCCATGAAAGCATATCTCCCCATGTACAGGACGTGAACCCATCAAACCTAGTCTGATCTCCTGGCTGGAAGAAGATCTGTGGCTTGTACAGAGCGGAGCCCTCCATGGTGAGTGTTTGGAAAGAACACGTTTAGAAGTATAGGGAGGAATCTTTTTCTTTTTTTTTTCTTTTCCCTGGTCCTTGACTTGAACTCAGGGCCTGAGCACTGTCCCTGAGCCTTTGTGCTCAAGACTAGTGTTCTACTACTTGAGACAAAACTTGCTTCCTGCTTTTTGTGGTTTATTGGAGATAAAAGTCTCATGGGCTTTCCTGCCCAAGTTGGCTTTGAACCGTGACCCTCAGATCTCAGCCTCTTCAGTGGCTGGAATTATAACACCTAGCTAAGGGAGGAATCTTTTAAGACACCTTTGAAGGGACAAGGCTTGGGCCACTGACCTGGGAAGAAGGGAAATCCTCAGCTTCTCCCATTCCTACTTCTGTCCACTGAGTCTTCCCTGTGATTGTCCAAGATATCATGTCCTCTTCCTTTTTTAGCATTTTTTGTCCCATGTTCTTTGTCCAGATCTGTGTTCCTTGTCGTCTCCATCATCCATTTGAATTTTCAAAGGATCAGCTCATAATAAACTGCCAAAAACTATATTTGTGGCTCACACCTGTAATCCTAGCTACTCAGGAAGCTTAGGTTGAGGATCATGGTTCAAAACCAACTCAGGCAAGAAAGCTCTTTAGACTCTCATCTCCAGTAAACTACTCAGAAAAGCTAGAAGTACAGCTGTGGCTCAAGAGGTAGAGCTCTAGCCTTGAACACAAAAGTTCAGGAAAAAGCCCAGAGTTCAAGCCTCAGGACTGACACACACAAAAAAAAACAAAAACAAATAAATCCTTTGAGTCACATTCTTAACAATGGCCAATAATTGGCACGGTCAAAACACTTCTACTTTCCCTTCTTTCAGCCAGATGCAATTTGAAATCCTAGACAAGTTGGGCTCTATCATTTTTACTACAACATTTTTTTTGGGGGGGTCCAGTCATGGGGCCTGAACTCTGGGCATGGGCACTGTCCCTCAGCTCTTCAGCTCAAGACTAGCGCTCTACCACTTGGGGCTCTATCATTTTTAACTCTTGCAATTGACCATTTATCTCCAAACATTAATTTTTTTTTCTGTTTTATCTTCAGACTGGGAAATGCAACTTAAAACTAAAGAGTCAACAGTTCAGGAGGACTCTTTGAGGAAACACACTTCCAGTGGGATACGAACAGTAAGATTAACAAGAGATAGTTGTTATTTTCTCACCCAAAATAATATTTCCAATTCCATGTTAGAAAAAAATGTATTATTCACTCAGCAGGGAGCAATGTGTCTGAGAAACACTCACACTACAATGAATTTGGGATGTCCCAAATTTACAAGGGGATGGAGAGCTTGGCTAAGTGGTAGAGTGCTTGCCTGTGTTTTGTCTTTAGTATTTAAAAACCAGTCTAAGCCAGGCTCTTGTGGCTCATGCCTGTAATCCTAACTACTCAGGAGGCTGAGATATGAGGATTGTGGTTCAAAGCCAGCTGAGGCAGGAAAGTCTGTAAGACTCTTATCTCCAGTTAACCACCAGAAAACCAGAAATGGCACTGTGGCTCAAGTGGTAGAGCACTGGCCTTAAGCTGAATAGCTCAGGGAAAGCACCCAGGCCAAGAGTTCAAGCCTCATGACTGACAACAACAACAACAAAAAACAATCTAGCTGTTGAGTTCCGTAATTCCAGAACTCGTAATTCCAGAACTCAAAAGGCTTTAATGGAGCCGGGCGCTGGTGGCTCATGCCTGTAATCCTAGCTACTCAGGAGGCTGAGATCTGAGGATCGCGGTTCAAAGCCAGCCCGGGCAGGAAAGACCGTGAGACTCCTATCTCCAATAAACCACCAGAAAACCGGAAGTGGCGCTGTAGCTCAAGTGGTAGAGCGCTCACCTTGAGCTGAAGAGCTGAGGGACAGCGCCCAGGCCCAGAGTTCAAGTCCCACGACCTACAAAAAAAAAAAAAAAAAAGAAAGGCTTTAATGGGAGGATCAAGAGTTCCAGGTCAGCCTGGATAGAAAAGTACACAAATCCCCCATCTTCAAAACAATGAGGAAAAAGCTGAACTGAAGGTGTGGCTCATGCGGTAGAGCACCAGCCGTGAGTGAGCAAGCTGACCAACATCAAGGCACTGATTGCAAACTCCAGTACTCCCACCCCCAAAATTTTTTTCCTTTTTTTTTTTTCTGTCAGTTGTGGGGAGTGAACTCTGGACTTGGGCGCTGTCCTTCAACTCTTCAGCTCAAGGCTAGCATTCTACCACTTAAGCCACAATGTCACTTCTGGCTTTTTCTGTTAATGTGGTGCTGAGGAATTGAACCTCATGCATGTAAGGGAAGCATTTTACCACTGAGCCATCTTCGCAGCTCCCCCTCCCCCAATTTCTTCATACGTATACAGACCCACAGTTTAGACATCAGATTTTTCAAGCAATTTGTGAATACCTGTACAGCAGCTTTAAAATTAAAGCAGATTTAAAATTAAGGCCAGGTATCATGGTTCAAAGCCAGCCTAGGAAATTTCCATGAAATTCATCTCCAATTCACCAGCAAAGAGCTGGAAATGGCTCAAATGGTAGAGCACCAACCATGAGCACAAAAGTTTAGGGAGAGTGCTCAGGCCCTGAATTTAATCCCCAGGACTGGCACACATACATACACACACACAAACACACACACTAAAGCAGGTGGCTCAGAATTTGGGCGCCATTTTTGTGTGGCATCATTCCATGACAAAGAATATTGTTGGGAAAATGTCATAAAAAGGCAAAAATTCCGAATCATGGTCTCAATGACATAGTTTATCATTCTTCTTGCATTATCAGCATGGAGGAAGCAGTAGCACTGGGGAATCCGGAGGTTAATGAGGGAAAACCCTGACTTGCCTTGGAGGAAGTCAGCCGAAGGAGAATGAGAGACCAGAGAGAAATAACTGTCCCCTCGTGGGGAGGGGGCGGGGCGTCCCAGCAGGGGTCCCTGATAATCGCGCTCTTGCCTCAGGTTTCAGGTCCTGCCAGTGCCCGCCCCTGAGTACTCAGGATAGGTTCCAGGCGTGGCTCAGTGGTAGAGCCCCTGTCTCACAAATCCAAGGCCCTCAGTTCAAACCCCAATACCAACCATAAAGGAAAAAAAATCTTATTAAAACAGACAAGAATTAGTCCATGGTTAGAACAAGATAGTTTGGGGTTCTTGTGTAAGGGTTCCCCATTCAACTCAAATGCACAGGGCAGGGAATGTGGGCCTGTCAACCAAAGTGGCAAACCACCACCATCATCATCATCATCATCATGATCATCACGCTGTTTCCGTCATCATGTCGGTAAACCCCTTAGTAAGTGTGAACATGTCTGTGATGCTCAACCGCCCTTTCTTCACCAGGCAGGAAGCCACCTCGCCCAGGCCCTCCGTGATCACGCGCAGGGCGGAGAAATCTTCAGTGAGCACTCGTATTTCAAGACACCCGTGAAGACACAGCACGCGTGGCCCCCGGCGGCCCCCGGCGGCCGCTCCAGCGAGGCGGCGGCGCCCGTGCCCCTGCACGCCCTCCGCACCTACGCGTGCAAGCTGTGCGGCAAGGCCTTCGGGCGCTCCTCCAACCTCAGCCGGCACATGCGCACGCACACGGGCGAGAAGCCGTACAAGTGCAAGGAGTGCCGCAAGGCCTTCACCACCTACTCGCGCCTGGTGGAGCACTTCCGGACGCACACGGGCGAGAAGCCCTACAAGTGCAAGGACTGCGGCAAGGCGTTCAGCAAGCGCTCGGGCCTCATCACGCACCTCCCCACGCACGCCTCGGACAAGCCGTACGCGTGCGAGCAGTGCGGGAAGGCCTTCGCCTCGGCCCCGCGCCTGGCGCAGCACACCCGCATCCACAGCGGCGAGAGGCCGTACATCTGCAAGGAGTGCGGCCGGGCCTTCCTCACCTCGTCCTACCTGCGCAACCACGTGGGCCGCACCCACAGCCGCGAGCGGCCCTACCTGTGCGGGGACTGCGGCAAGGCCTTCCACTCCTACTCCTACCTGCGCCGCCACGTGCGCATCCACAGCGGGGAGAGGCCCTACCTGTGCAAGGAGTGCGGCAAGGCCTTCCTCAACTCCTCCTACCTCCACAACCACGTGCGCAAAACGCACAGCGGCGAGAGGCCGCACATCTGCGGCGAGTGCGGGAAGGTCTTCCACGCCTCCTCCTACCTCCGGCGCCACGTGCGCACGCACAGCGGGGAGCGACCCTGCATCTGCAAGGAGTGCGGGAAAGCCTTCCTCAACGCCTCCTACCTGCGCAAGCACCTGAGCACGCACGCCGGGGACCGGCCCTACGGCTGCACCGAGTGCGGCAAGTCCTACAGCCGATCGAACCTGCTGCACGACCACCTGAAAACGCACCTGGTGGAAAAGCCATTCGAGTGCGACGTGTGCGGGAAAGCCTTCCAGTACTTCTCATACCTCACCAAACACATCCGCATTCACACCGGAATCAAGCCCTACAAGTGTAAGTACTGCGGCAAAGACTTCACCACGTCCTCCAGCCGCACGGAACACGTGCGGACCCACACCGGGGAGCGGCCCTACGAGTGCAAGGAGTGCGGCAAAGCCTTCAGCTCCTCCTCCAACCTCATCCACCATGGCAAGATCCACAGCAGAGAGAAACCTCTCGTTAGAGAGGTAAAAAAAACCTCCACTAGCTCCTAACTGAGCACTTACTAACTGACGCCAACAGCAATGGCTTGGGACGGAAGGAAGGCTGACAATCCTGTAGGAATTCTCATCTTACAACATCACACTGCAATGTTCCCTGGGCTTTCTGCCCAGGCACTGGTGGTTCACACCTGGAATCCCAGTTACTCAGGAGGCTGAAATCTGAGGGTCCGCAGTTCAAAGCCAAACCAGGCAAGAAACGTCCATGAGGTTCATTGTCTCCAAAAGCAAGAAAGCAAGCAAGAAAGAGAAAGAGAAATCTACTCCAGAAAAGCCAGACATGAAGTGGTAGCTCTAGTAGAGCACAAGCCTAGAGCAAAAAATAACTAAAGATAAGGAATATGGGCCAGCGCTCAGTCAAGCCAGTTCACTTGAAAATATGAATTGAACCTGTGTTCTCACAGCTCCCCATGAATGTAAGCAAGAGAGCAGGAAATCCCTCACTTGTTTCCTGGGAAGTTATTAAATACAGTTATTAAATACCATGGAGGGAGAGAACGCTGGTGTAAATAATAAGGTTGGATCATGGCTGTACAAGATATTTCCATCTTCCCTTGTGCTTTCAGTGGCAAACACTGAAGGTAAGGAACAGTGGGAAATCCCTTTCATGGGGCATGAATCCTCCAGCTGACTCCACCAAGAGATGACTCTAAGGGAAGTGGAATTTGCCCCCCACCCCCAATCAGTCCATCTGGATGGTGTTGGTGTATTTGGACCATTTTTTTCCTTCTGTCCTGGTCTTTTTTTTTTTTTTTTTTGCTAGTCCTAGGGCTTGAACTCAGGGCCCAAACCCTGTCCCTGAGCTTCTTTTGCTCAAGGCTAGCACTCTACCACTTGAGCCACAGTGCCACTTCTGGCTTTTTCTGTGTATGTGGTGCTGAGGAATCGAACCCAGGGCTTCATGCATGCTAGGCAATCACTCTACCACTAAGCCACATTCTCAGCCCTGTCCTGGTCATTCTGAGAGTGATGTGGCTTGCTTCCCACAGCAACACCAGTCCATTCTGGTTGCCAAGTCTTCTGGAGGGGAGGGGGCACAACTTGGTGGAAAGGACCTTAGGGTAGAAACCTGGTGTGATTGCCCAATGTAGATCTCTGCTTGGGGTTGTCATTCTTTTGCACACCGTACTCCTATAGCAGTCAAGTTTGGCTGAGAATATAGCTTTCTGTGTTCTGGAGAAATGTCCATGTTACTCTTTCACATGTGGTCCTTTCAGATAAAGGTTGGGAGCAAGAGGAGGAATAAGGAGGGAGTGAGGGAATAGTGAACAGTAGATCTGAGTGTGGAGGAGAGTTGGAACCCTCACTCCTGAGGCTGAGGGGTTCCCACAACACAAGCAGTAGAGGGAGGGACCATAAGGCGTGAGTTCCCCGTGTCACCTCTGCACTTGCTCTACAGATTGACGAAGCATCAGCTTCACCCACAATCTGCTCTTCTCCACATGTTGTGGAGACAGAAAGGCTGCTAGAAACATGGCTTGTCAGGGTCCACGAATGTGTGTGTGTGTGTGTGTGTGTGTGTGCTGGTCCTAGGTCTTGAACTCAAGGCCTGGGCACTGTCCCTGAGCTTTTTGCTCATGGCTGGCACTCTACCACTTGAGGCCCACCCCCACTTCCGGCCTTTTTAGTAGTTCATTGGAGGTAAGAGTCTCCAGGACTTTCCTGTCTAGTTTTGACCCGTGATCATCAGATCTCAACCCCCTGAGTAGCTGAGATTATAGGCATGAGCCACGGGCACCAGCACAGTCCACCTTTTTTTGGTCGGTCGTGGGGCCTGAACTCTGGGCCTGGGCACTGTCCCTGAGCACTTCAGCTCAAGGCTAGCGCTCTACCACTTGAGCCACAGCGCCACTTCCGGTTTTTCTGCTTTTTGTGGTGCTGAGGAATCTAACCCAGGGTCTCATGCATGCAAGGTAAGCACTCTACCACTGAGCCACCTTCCCAGCCCCTAGTCCACCATCTTGACTAGCACTGCACCCCCTGAACAGGGTCTGGGGTTACAGACCTGCAGATCTCCACTACTAGACTTCAGTCTACAGAACCAAATTGAGACACTTAACTCGAGCAGCCAAAGGTTATATCGCATGTCATCACGGCTACAGCCACTTGATGGTTCTTCCTGTGGCTCTTAGGCTAATGTGATGACCCACAACCACTACACAAGAAGATCCTGAGAGGGAGACCTGTGTCCCTTTGTGTATGTGCGTATTGCTGCCTTTAATTTTGATAACCACTCAGAGGTCATGAGTCTTTATTCCCTTGTGTGGGTTGTAACAGCTCATAGACTATCATTAGGCGCCATCCAGATTGTCCTAAATAAGGCAAGAGGGGCCAGGTACTGGTGACTCACACTTGTCATCCTAGCTACTCAGGAGGCTGAGGTCTGAGGAACACTGCTCAAAGCTAACCCAGGTAGGAAAGTCTGAGAGACTTATCTCCAGTGAACCACCAGAAAACTGCAACTGGCACTGTGGTTCAAAGTGGTAGAGCGCTAGCCTTGAGCAAAAAAACTCAGAGACAGAGCTCAGGCCCTAGGTTCAAGCCCCACAACTGACCAAAAAAATATAATAATAAAATAAAGTTTGGTGATTTTCCTAGAGACTTGGGCAAAGTGAGCAGTGTAAGTTGGCCTCAAACTTGGGCTTAGATTCCTACTGACAGTATTAACAACATCCCAGTGTCCCTGGCTGCCTGAGTTCACTGCTGGTGAGGACATCATCCTGCCTCAAGGCCTGTCCAGGGGAGATGAATTCCGTCTGCACTTCACACTGGCAAGGTTTAGAACCTGCCCTGTAGCAATGCTACACGCACACACAGCAGCTTGCTTTCCTTTCTTTGATAAGTTGGGTCTGCTGTGGGCCCAGTCTTGCTGCTGGCTTCTCCTGGGATTCCTGAGAATCCTTGGATTCTCAGCCTTTATGGGCTTTGTAGCCCATGGCTGTAGGAAAGTCGGATAAGGTTAGTGTTATCTGTGCAGTTCTAAAGGTTGGCAAAACACAGGGCACTGGTGGCTCATGCCTGTAATCCTACCTACTAAGGAGGCTGAGATCTGAGGATCAAGGTTCAAATGGCAGGAAAGTCCATGAGACTCTTCATTCCAATTAACCACCAGAAAACCAGAAGTGGCACCATGGCTTAAGTGGTAGAGGGCTAACCTTGAGCTGAAGAACTGAGGGACAGCGCCCAGGCCCAGAGTTCAAGCCCCACGACCGACCCCCCCAAAAAAAGGGGGGGAGCTGGGAAGGTGGCTCAGTGGTAGAGCACTTGCCTTGCATGCCTGAGGCCCTGGGTTCGATTCCTCAGCACCACATAAGCAAAATGAAAAAAGCCAGAAGTGGCGCTGTGGCTCAAGTGGTAGAGCGCTAGCCTTGAGCTGAAGACTGAGGGACAGAGTTCAGGCCCCACGACCGGACCCAAAAAAAAGAAAAAAAAACAAGCAGCGAGTGTGACAATGTGCAACAAACATTAACTATGACTGTGTTTTTACTCCAAAATATGAGAATTTGCTATAAAACCATCAGGAAATGGGGGGTGGAGATCAGTGGTAGAGTGATTCCTTAGCATTCATGAAACCCTAAGGTTCAGGTGTGCAGCAAAAGCTGCAAAAGTTTGAAATCCTACAACCAAAAGAGTATGATAAAAAGCCAAAGCTTCAGGAACAGTACCCAAACCCTGAGTTCAAGCCCTAGGCCCCAGAACTGGCACACAAAAAGTATGAATGAGTGAATGCCTTACTGGCCTAGAAGGGTCTAGATGCATAACTGTATAGGAAGCATTGTTTAATAAAGGTGAAATTTCAAATCAAGAGTAGTTTATCAATATGTGGACTTCTGATAATTGGCCATCTTTCTAGAAAAGAAAATATTGGATCCACTACCCCACAGTGCATGCCAAAATACACTGTTAAAAGATGATAGAGCCAAGTGTTTTGGCGTACAACTATAATCCCTACATTTCAGAGGCTGAGACAGAGGATTATGAGTTTGAGGCTAGCCTGAGCTACACACTAAAATCACAATGAAACCATTATATGGGGGGAGGGGCCTCCACCCAATGGTAGAACACATGCCTAACATTTGGAAGTCTGATCTTCAGTACCATAAGAAAAACAAGTTGATGCTGGGTGCTGTGGTGGGTCACACCTAACCTTATCTACTCTGGAGGCTGAGATCTGAGGATCATGGTTTGAAGCCAGCCCAGGCAGGAAAGTCCACAAGACCCATATCTCCAGTTAACTATCAAAAAAGCAGAAGTAGAGTTGTGGCTCAAGTGGTAGAGCACTGCCATAGGACAAAAGAAGTTCACAGACAGTGCCTGGGTACTGAGTTCAAGCTTCAGGTCCAGCACAAAAAAAAAAAAAAAAATAGTTGAGCCGGGTGCCAGTGGCTCATGCCTGTAATCGTAGCTACTCAGGAAGCTGAGATCTGAGGATTGTGGTTCAAAGCCAGCCAGAGCAGGAATCCATGAGACTCTTATTTCCAATTAGCTACTAGAAAACCAGATGGGGTGCTGTGGCTCAAGTGGTAGAATGCTAGACTTGAGCTGAAAGCTGAGGGACAGCACCCAAGCCCAGAGTTCAAGCCCCACTACTAACCAAAAAAAAAAAAAAAAGGTTGAATATTAGCATAGCAAAATAGTATTAATTGTGGCTGCATAGGGCTGGAACTGTGGCATAGTAGTAGATTGTTTGCCTAGCATGCATGAAGCCCTGGGTTTGATTCCTCAGTATCACATAAACATAAAATCAGGAAGTGGCGCTGTGGTTCAAGTGGTGGAGTCTAGCCTTAAGCAAAAGCAGCTCAGGGACAGTGCCCAGACCCTGAGTTCAAGCCCTAGGACTGGCAAAAAATATGTGGCTGCATAAGCAGGTGGCATACATAAATGAAGAATTCTCTATGTGTTAGCAAATCTATATTTGCATTTTTTTTGACAGTGTTGGGGCTTGAACTCAGGATCTGCCCCACCTTGCTTGCTCATGGCTGGTGCTCTACCACTTGAGCCACTCCAATTCCAGCTTTCTGCTGGAGATAGAATCTCTTGTCCTTTTTTTTTTTTTCAGCCAGGCTTTGAACTGTGATACTATAGATCTCAGCCTCCTGAGTAGCTTGGATTACAGGTGTGAGCTACCAGCACCAGCTTATACCAATACTTCTTTTTTTAGAACCTTTTTCTTTTCAAATTTTTTATTGTGATTAAGTAGTTACATAATTTCCCAAATTTCACAGTATTGTAGGATACTTATATTGATGCTTAGTTAAAGTCTAATTTTCATGGAGCAAATTGTCTATCATGGTCTTTAATATTTATAAGTTCTATGAGCTTTGCAATAATTATTTCTTCCACATTGGGTGACATGTACATTTGTTTTGTTTTGCATAGCATTAGCTGTTCCCTCTTTCCCACTAGTTCCCTCCCTCCCATCACTGCCATTGAGTTGCTTAGTTCATTTTGATCAATGTCCAGTGCAGCTGATGGGTCCCACTGTTGTATGTTTTTCCCTGATTCCCTCTAGTTCTGTGTCATCCTCCTGGTTTCCCTCCAGTGTGCACATATATACCATATATGTGATCAGCAGCATGGGGTTATTTAGTAGTGATTCGACCAGATGAGAGGAAGTCCTTTGTTTCTTATTTTGTCATATCACCTTACATTTTGGATTTAACATCCACTTATCAGAGAGACCATGTGCTGTTTGTCTCTTTGCTCTTGGCTTACCTCGCTCAACG